TTTTTTTCTTAAAAGAGTTTTAATGGTACAATCATCCAATTTACAGGTTTCTCTTGCTTTAAATGTGGCGGCACTTAGTATATTGATTTTTATATGAGGGTTCAGGAGGGTTTAGGATTGATCAAATGGTTTGTAGTGGGAGTTTATTTTAGCTTTATTGGTCATTTTGTAGCCATTTAATAAAACTTTTTCCAAAATATCAATCTTATAAACAGTTCATTCCTTAATACATTTAGGTACCTGAATATTCTTACTCCCTTGATGAAGAGGGTATTTGCAAACATGCATTTGAGCTGATTTTTGCATTTGATGAAGTCATCTCTCTTGGGCACAAGGAAAATGTGACTGTTGCACAAGTTAAGCAATACTGTGAGATGGAGAGTCATGAAGAGAAGCTCCACAAGCTGGTAATGCAGAGCAAGATTAATGAAACTAAGGATGTTATGAAGCGAAAAGCTAGTGAGATTGATAAAAGCAAGGTGTGATTGGAGGGACTATGTTTTATTAATTTGTTTATATTTAAAGTCTGGGAGTGTACATCATTTCTTCTAATCAATTCTCGTGTTCTGCAGATTGAAAAGAACAGAGGTGATAAAGGAGGATTTGGTCCATTACAGTCAATGGGCTCTGGAAGAATTGACAATAGCTTTAGTGATTTGAGCATATCTAGCAGTGGAACTGGTTTTGGAAGTGGCTCTGGTTTTGGGTTGACTTCTGATGTTGATTCCTTTTCCACCAAGTCTAAAGGTTGACTTTCATAGATTTTTATGAATTCTTCTTGTATGCTTTTTCTTGTAATAATTTAAAGAGGGCATTGAATCATGCTGTATCCTGGGTGTGCGGTTTATTCTATGCCCAAATTAACATGTTGCTAAATGAGGAGTAGCCTTTTCATTTATGTACTCCCCTATTCTCTTGCTTAGGTCGTCCAACTTCATCGGCCACTGCTCCACCTAAAGGTCTTGGAATGAAGCTTGGTAAATCTCAAAGGACAAATCAGTTTTTGGAATCACTGAAAGCAGAAGGTGAGGTCATTCTTGAAGATGTTCAGCCAAAACTTGGCCAGTCTCGGGCTGCTGCCCCACCACCTACTGATCCCATCACTTTAACTGTCGAGGAGAAACTAAATGTGACACTGAAACGGGATGGCGGAGTCAGTAATTTTGATGTTCAAGGCACATTGTCTCTCCAAATTCTTAACCAAGAGGATGGGCATATTCAAGTTCAGGTATCCAATATTCCCTATCTCTACCTTAATGTGTGTCCACTGGACTTCTGGTTTGCATAACCTAAGTAATTTTTTCAATAATTAATTATTTATTGACATGAAAATGATAATTTTTTCCTTAAATCTTATCACCATTAGGGGAAAGAAAAAGTTTATATGAAACAGAACTTTTTTCAACAAGATTGACAACCATAGATTCTCCAGTAGTGGGATCAGTTACATAGATTACATGACACCATTGCATTATGTCAAAAATCAATTCCTTTCATCTATGAAACATATTTTTCCTCTGATAAATTTCTTTTGTTTTCTAATGTTCTCTTTGTCTTGTTCTCATACACCCCTCACAGTTTGCATCCTCCATATAATAAGTGTAGTTGGCAGTGATTTTGTATGTGAACAATTAGTTCTCAAAAAGGATAATGTTTAAAAAGCAGCCTGTGTTTAAGGTGCAAGGCTCAAATAAGTCAATCATTAGTTTAAGCTGGATGTTGTATTTTAGGCTTAGATGTTAGCAGCTTTTGTTGTACTTTAGTCACTCTAATGATCTTCTCTTGCACAGTCGTCAAGTCATACAGTTGTGTTAAAATATATTAGTTTTAGTCTTTTGTTTTAAAACGGTTATTAAAAGAAACCTTTTGATTAATCAGATTTCTTAAAATTTGGTTTTGATCGAACTCAATAGCATCGTGTGATTCATGTAGCCGACCTTATCAAGGAAGGTAAGGCTTAATTATTCTTCTAGTCTTTTTTGTTTAAAATAGCTGAGACTTTAGATAGAACCAACCAAGCGTGATGATAAAAAAGGGAAAATGAAAAAAAAAAAAAAGAGGACTAGATTGCAGTGGCAATTCAGTTAGGCAAAAAGGATGAAATTGAAGTGGAAGATAATGGTGGCTGGTTACAATTCTTGTAGGGTATAAAAGTGCTGGTTCCTTGTTTGTTCATGAAGTATCCTGGTCCTTTTAGTATGTGATGTATATATAGGGTTTTCATGAAATAAGCATTTTGGTTAGCATGAATTGGTAATTTCTTTTATCAATTGGGAAAAAAAAATGGAAAGGTATTTGAAACATTTTTCAAATAATTTATTTTTATGTTCAATTTTACTTGTTTTGTTTCAAGCCACAGTTTTCTAATGTTTTGTACAGTAACTAACGATTCTCCTACCATACTTCATTCTTTAGTGTCCTAGGTTTTTTCTTGCTTAAGGACTCGTCTTGAATACAAATATCAGTTCAGGAGGACAACGAAAAGTATTGATTCTTGTACATTGTGGCTTGTTTTTGCAGGTCCAGACTGGTGACAATCAAGCCATCTCTTTCAAGACACACCCTAACATGAATAAAGAATTATTTGCCAATGAATATATACTAGGCCTAAAGGATCCCAACAGACCTTTCCCCACTGGTCAAGCCAGTGATGCTGGGGGTGTTGGTCTTTTAAAGTGGAGGATGCAAAGTACTGATGAGTCAATGGTGCCGCTGACAAGTGGGTTAATAACTATCATGAATTTGATATACTACTTTGTTTTGATGTATTAATTTGCTTTATGTGTCAATTGCAGTCAACTGCTGGCCCTCCTCTTCTGGAAATGAAACTTATGTCAGCATTGAATATGAAGCTTCATCTATGTTTGATCTGCGGAATGTTGTGATCTCAGTACCTCTTCCAGCTCTTCGAGAAGCACCATCTGTTAGGCAGATTGATGGGGAATGGAGGTGTGAATTTTTCTCTTCCTCTTAATAAATGTTAGGGAACAGCCATGGTTGTGTTTGGGGTTGAACTTTGTGGTAAATGAGCTGGTGGTTTTGTATTAGAAATGATCTCTGTTACACGTTAGTGGTTTGCATACTGAATCTACTGACCAGATTTGCATGGATTTGACAACTCTCTAATTCTTTCTAAGATCATCAATTGATATTTTAATCATATTAATATTTTATGTATGGTTCTAAGTCATTTAATACTGTGTATTATTCTGCCTTTATAAAACTGGCTTTGCAGGTATGACTCTAGGAATTCCATTTTGGAGTGGTCTTTACTTCTGATTGATAATTCAAACCGCAGGTATGCTAAATTTGGAGTGATATTCTTAGAGCTAACTTATGCTGCGTCACTATCTCTCTCTTTTTTATTTCTTTTAATTTTTTTTGTTGTCTGATTAATATATTTGGCAGTGGGTCAATGGAGTTTGTTGTTCCAATAGCAGATTCATCAGCATTCTTTCCCATTTCAGTCCGATTTATGGGAACTGATACTTTTAGTAACTTGAAGGTTTGTTTGGATTTTGTTTTTAACTTTTTTGACTTTAACCGTGGCTGTGGATGTATAGTGCTCTGTTTAAAATGATCTGGGAAGTCCTATATCATGTCTGAATACAAAATTTCTTTTTCGTTAACAATTCAGTTACCATCCATGCCTGAATATTGATTTGATTGGAGTTTAAACTTACCTTTTTTTAACCTCTCTTTGCAGGTTACCAACATCATACCATTGAAGGGTGGTAATCCTCCCAAATATTCGCAGAGAACACAGTTGATAACGGAAAACTATCAAGTTGTGTGATTGTTTTCCCTCTCGAATTTAAGCTCCTATAACAGTTTTGCTTGTTACGTTGGCAGTTCTTTTATGAATAGGATTTTCTTCATCAAGTTGTATTTGCCAGATTCATGGATTTATACTACAGTTTTACTTCGCAAGACATGACGCAAAGTACGATTTGTCATAATTAATGCTTAAGAGTGTCTATTTACTATGCGGAATATATCTTTTATGTGGAAGGGTGCATTTTCTGTGTTATAAAATGTCATATTTTTCGAAGACGGGGAAATAAAGTACATGTTAATAATACATGAAAGCAAAACAACTAGGACAAGCAGACATAACTTCGAAATTTTGTTTGGTCTAGGACGCAACTTTTAATTTGAAATCGTTCTGTTTGCAGTGAGGGACTTTTGCTGTAGCAAACTTTTTATTTATGTTCTCCGAAAAAACCTATCCCAACGTCGTCAATAAGGTGCAATTCGAAACTAAACAACCAAGAGTAGTTCGAAGACAAACCAGAGAAAAACGAACAGATCATCAAAATACTCAGACTTTGTTTATTGAAGTGATTACTTTCACATAAAAAAGTTAAACGGGTTACAAGAATTAGCTGAATTGAATTTTGACAATACTAGACTTTTGAAGCAACTAGATATCTGTCTATTTGCCTCATTTTCAGATTTTATTTTTGTAGAAAATGAAAAAAAAGCTTGAAAATAATGTTTAATCGTTTATAATAGTTTATTCAATGCTACTCAGATTGGTTGGAGAACGTGGGATGTAAATATCGGTAGTCTTCAAAAAATGTGTAAATGGAATTTACTCAATTTAGTGAAATTTTGTAGATAGATGTCTCACAAAACTGATAATTTCAAAATGTTTTCAGCATTTGGCAGTTTTGCAATTACAAGGAAAACTGCTCATAATCATGTACATTTATTTTGTCATGAATCATTGATAAAAAAGCCTAGTAACACTTACATACTATAAATATAAGTGCATTACAACAATACATAATAGATAGTTATAAAAAATTAGGCAGGCATGCATGCATGCATTGTTGCATTTCTATCGATTAACGTGCAATCTCCAGCAGGCAAATTCCACAGGGTTTAAAGCGGGCATCATCATTTTAAGTCATTACCACAACTCGAGAGCGTTCACCGCGAGTTTACAACCTTAAAAAATTCAAAATGTTTAGTAGGCAACACGTTAGACACTCGGGCCTCTCAAGCACATCATAAATTCCACAAATGCTAAAAAAAGTATTTAAAGACATTGATTATAGCATTAAAGTAAGAACTTGGTTCAAAGTAACTAGCAGCTTACCACAAAGCTTAATTACAGTCTATGACAGTAACCATAAATTGCCGTCCCAAATTTCATGTACACGTAGTATATCATTTTGTGCATCTCTTGCCTAATACAGACCTGAGTTTTTTTATAGCTCCATCAACATTTGAAACCCCCACAAGCAACAACCCACAGAAATATAATCAAAATAAGGATTCCTCCTCCCACCATCAGTTTCATTTGGAGATTTTGCAGCCACATCTTCCTCCTCAGCTGCCTGCCCTGCCTCTGGAAGCTGTCAGCCTAAATTTAATGGAAAGTACAATAACATCAGTACATTACTTCAGAGTTCAGACTATTTGATTTGGATAATACTTTTTATTGGGATGAACAGAGAATTTATTAAGTTGGAAAGGAGAGATACAAATGCTTGATTTTGGAAAAAAAAAAATACATACTTGAAACTGCAAGTTTTCTGTTTTGTCCACCAGCAGTTCAATCTTCTCTCCACGATCCAAAACCTTCAAAACAGCAAGTGCAAATGTTGTTTAGAAGTGCCTAGTATTGAGCAACAATGAGGCCTTTTTGAAAAAAGGTTGAAATGTTTAAGTGGGTCTTTGTTCTAGTTTTGATTTACTACTTCCCTGACAGTTTACATGGGATTAAAATATTCTCCCTCAATTCTATGTGGGTCAAATTCTAGAGCTGCAGAATCTCTCTTAATAATTCACGAATACTATTTACTTAGGGAGTTGGCATCCTTTCTATTGGTCCAATTGTCACAATCACTGAATTTATGCTTTAATATGCATACATTTTTTGCAGTATCAAAAGGGAGATTATTGAATTACAACGCCATGAAATCAAACCCAAGAAATCTTATGAAATCAACAAGGCATAAATGGGATGTTTCATCCAATATTAGATCCATAATCTCTCTTCTGGTTAAATAACGAAAATGTCACCCACCATGGCAGGTCCCTATATAATAAAACATTCTCTCCCCAACAGGATGGTCCTGTGATAGGAGAGGATGTTTGAGTATGCCTCAAAACTAAAAGCTGAGAAGAATGCAATCATCTCTTGTACGAACCATGTCATTTTTACTAGCCAATTTTGGTGGTCCTGGGCAAAACAACTGGGAAGGCACGTCCTCTGCCCTTCCCTTCAGTTTTTCAAATTCCCCCTTCCCTTCTTGAGCAATATATGAACTCCATTGGTGGTCCACAAAGAAAAATGAGAAACAAGAGATTTTGATCAAATATGAAAACAACAGCCATTTAATTTCAATTTGATTTCTCACAAACCCCGATGTAGATAGTTTTTTGTTTTTATTTCTTTACAACAAAAGATCTTGAATGCACTGGTTCCAACAAAAGCATTTTGATAAACTTGTCCATCCTAATATGATTCCAGTGTTCAGAAAGGGGAAGCAAAAATTTGAAAAGCAGAGGAAGGGAAAGGGAGAGAAGATGCCCATTCCTTGGCCCTTTTTCAAAATTTTCTATGTTGTGTTTTTTTTTTTTTTTTTTTTTTCTGTGTGTAGTAATATTTTGATTGGTTGTGTCCAAAGATGACGTGCCAGGCTTTTGCTCATATAAAAATTACTCTAATCCACTAAAATAGTCACGTATTGATGAGAAATGATCAGCATCTCTTTACAAATATTCTGCAGTTATGTATTGTTTCTGTTTTAAATAGATGTTAATGTATCTACGCCCTATCATATCTTAAATTATAAAAAATTTAATGTATCCCCATATTTGTTTCATGTCTACTTGTTAGGCATTAAGTATTTTAACGAGTCCCTTCAGGAAGTTTGAAACAGCATTCCAATTCTAAAATTATCATCCCTTATTTACAAGTCCTTCCTCCCTCCTTCCCCCTGCACAAATTAAAATCACTTCCAAGCAAAATCGCACAAACCATAGGACAGCACATCCAGAGACAAATTAGTTAGTATTTGTACAAGGAACCAGAGCTAAAAACATATGATAGCAATTAGCAACCAAAAGAGCGTGTGTTAGGCTTAGCATCATATACCTTTTCAATATTGTCCATCATTATCCCCTTGACCTCAGTTATTTGAGTCTTCAATTTTGATAGTTTACTTATTTCTTCTGGATGGTTCATGCAATACTGCATATGTTCCTTGAGCGTTGGTCTGTGTAACCAGATAAAAAATTCAAAACACAAAAAACAAAACAAAAAAGAAGCAAACAAAACTTAAAAAGGATCGAGCAAAAGCAAACCCAAATTCTCTATCAAGATGATATGCAATTTTAAATCTGTCTTCAAATAAATCATCATCCTCGTCATCATCATCATCAAGTGGATGGGCACTGTCATTCTTAATGCTAGCACCATAACGCTTCTTAAAGTCCTCTTTCACCCGTTCAAGAAATATAAAAGGAACACTCCTTCCAACGGATTCATCTGCAACAACAAGGAAAACTGCAAGCAGAGACAAACATTCAGACATTGACAAACGTAACAACCAAATCAGCTGAACAGGTAATACATATAAACAACAAAGAAGAATCAATACCAAATCCATTGTCTAAGAGGAAGTTAAACGTGTGACCATCACATGAATATGTGTATTTGCTGCTGTTTGAAGGCAGCTTCTGTAGGCACTGAACAGCAATGGTACTGAAATTTCCCGTATATTGAGTGTGCTCCGCTAAAACAACAGTTCCTTTGGCAACAAAGCTATATATTAAACCCCTCTGACTCATCTCCAACTTGCAAAAAACTCCACCACCACAAGGTACACCAACCCAAGCTGTAAATAACAAAAATTAATCAGAAAAACCCATACATCATTATAGCAAGTACTACTAGACCCTAAACCTAATTGAGGTCAGAAACTAAACCTAATACGATTATCGCAATTCAATCAATGATGATCTCATGAAAAATCTTAATTCACAACAGGGTATATTCATAATTTTTCAATGTAAAAAGAGAAAGAGGGGGGGGGGGGGTGCATGCGCTCTTTGGATTTGTCAAATCTAAAGTCAAACTAAAAAACCCAGTTGGTTTTCCGATCCTTAATTTCACGGGGCACAGAGGGAAAGGGGAAAAGAAGAGAACTTTACGAAAAGTGACCCGACTCTGTGATCTAATCGGGAGAATTAGCAATTTGGGTGAAATTTGCTTTGATTATTGGAGAAAATTGAGAAATGAAAAGAAAGAGAAAAGGAATGAAAGGGAACCTGAGTGGAGTTACAAGATCGAGAGTTGCTTCCTCCTTGATGATGTTATGATCCAAGAAGACAGAAGAATGACAGCGCTTTTATCAGTTTCTTCAAGCAACGTGGTCAAGGTGTTACTGCAACACTTAATTTTTCTTTTTCCTCTTTTTTCCTTCGCTTATATAACAAGATAAGAATGAATCACTAATAAGCTAAAATGCACCCACGTTCAGTTGGATGAATTTTGAATTAGTTTTTAGATTATTTGAGTTGAATATTTTAATTTATAAAATTTTATTTTTTTTAATTTATGATTTTATAAAATTACTTATTTTTATTATAAAATAATAAAAATTTAAAAAAATATAATGATTATTTTTTTTATAAAATTGAAAATTAATAATTATTAAGCACATAAGTCAATTAATATAAGATATCTTAGTTTAATTAATAAATTTAAATCATTAAATATTCAGCTAAAGAAAGAGTGTTATCACTCATTATAATTTTATTTAATTTAAATTGATTAAAAAATATGGGTAATTTAGTCATAAAATAAAACTAAAATACTTTATTCATACAATATTAAAGACTGAAATGATAGTTTACATTTTAAAAGAAATATTAAATAAAATAAATCTAAACACAAGAGCTTTCCTCTACCAAATAAAATACATCTAAAAACATTAATAATCACGTAACTCACTTTTTTTCTCACCTAAAAATAAGAAATTTTTTTTTTTGTAGAAGGTACATTTCATATACCTGAAAAAATATATACACTTCATTCATTCATACATTGAATTTAATTGTTTTTTCTATTTTCATTTTTAAATTACGATATTTTATTCAAAATCAAAATGACTAAAGTTGGTCTCACCCAACAATCAAACACGCAAAGATAGAAATCAGTAATATTGATATAAGCATTTGTCATTGTGGTTTGTGGAAGGTGAGACCATAAGTAAAACACTTTTCACATGTAGATGTAGTTAATACTACAATTATTTTTTCATTATAATAAGTACGATCACGAGAAGCTGTTTCACAATATATTAGTCATTACACGGCAAATCCACTTATTGATAACTTTTCAATTAATACAAGACAAAACTTTTGACTCCCACTATGTATGGTCCATGTTTTCTTCATCAAAACTTGTTCCTGTACCAATAAACGCCCTTCTGAGATGTTCCTTCATCTGGCTCCACATAGAGGCACTCTCTAGCTTCTCTCCACAATGCCTTGTAAAATGGGGTGTCATCAAATTGGTAGAATTCACCCAATATGGGTTTCAAAGCTTTGGTTGCCTCCATTGCATGGTAATGTGGCATTGTAGAGAAGAGATGATGAGCCACATGTGTATCGGTTATGTGGTGAAACACTTTGTTGAGAATCCCATAATCTCTGTCCACAGTAGCCAAAGCACCCCTCAGCCAGTCCCATTCGGATGAGTCATAGTGAGGTAAGGTACTGTGAGTATGTTGCAAATATGTGATGGTCACAAGAAAGCCATTCACAATTAGCAGTGGAACCCCATAAACGCATAGCAGCCAAGCCAGCCCTTTCACAGTTGCAACGTGGTAGAGCAAGTAGGTTGTAGCAAACACAGCAGCGTCAGAAACATAAATTTGAAGCCTTTCGCGATCAGAATATATGGGAGCATAAGGGTGATAGTGGCTTGCAAAACGATCATAGGGTCTACCAGAAACATTGAAGAGCAAGTACAAAGGCCATCCTATTGTGAGTGTGATGAGAAGGGTAATAGCCCTCCCTGGTGGGTTGTTTAAGTACTTGCTATACCATGCCATTTCGGATTTGGGTTTTGGAACAAACACCTCATCACGCTCAAGGGAACCTGTGTTGGAGTGGTGGCGGCGATGGCTAATTTTCCATGAGAAATATGGGACTAGAAGTGCAGAGTGAAGGATCAAACCCACCAGATCATCAACCCATTGGTACTTACTGAAGGCATGATGACCACACTCATGAGCAATCACCCACACCCCAGTGAGAATGCAACCTTGGAGAAACCAATATACGGGCCAAACAATGAGGGAAAAGGGGTAAGGAAGGAGGTGAAAGTAGGTAGTGGTAATGTAGAGAATGAAGGCCACTGAAAGGTCACAAACAACAAAGGAGAATGAATAGAGGAGGGAGCGCTCAAAGCAATGCGGTGGAATGGCTTTCTTGAGTTGGCCAACACTGAATGGAGGCTTTGTGTGTGGAACCCGTGAGAGAGGCTTGTTCTCAAGTTCAAGCTTGGATTTAGAAGCAGTGACACGCCCTCCACCTCCCATTGTTTCCTTAGACACACCCTGTATCAAAGTATAAAGCAGTTCAGTTCTGTTGCTGAATGCCTAATATCCAACATAGAACTACAAGTCCTCAATTTTAAACAAGTGAAAAAAACTATAGATAATAATATCAACAAAATGAATGGCAGAGGTGAAATATGAAAGTGAGTAAAACCATGACCATAAAACAAAAAGTAACAAGCACCAAATGTATGTGATCCTCCTCTAGTGTGGCATTACAGCCAATTGTTTATCAATAGAGAGAGAAGTTTTCTAATTGCAGATATTGTAGGCCTACCATAATCCTTCAGGAAATCTATAGATGGTTAAAAAGAAGAAGAAAAGACAGAATACGTAAATGCATAATTCAATTCGAGAGTTTTCCTCAACGAACGATGAACCTCACATGACTAGTTTCCAAAGACATGAAAGTTAAAAATATCCTGGGGTGAAGGCACAATTTTATTTACGATATTTTGTGGCTTGTACCATCATTTTTCCCCTTCATTTTGCAAGAATGCATCTAATAACATTTGATCCAGTTGTTTTCTAGTCTTGGAACTTGGAAGTTCAAAAGGACAGAGATGCCATCAATACAAATAGGGAAACAAACAAGGACAGTGCATCAAGGTTAACCACCACAGCACCAGATTGCAATTTGGAAAGGGTTAGTTGTGTCACAGACCCACATGCACAGGTCATTAATTTCACTCAATACTTGTAAGGGTATGATTTTGAGGTCCACTGGTTTAGTATACGTGCGAGGCTTATATGAAGAAAAAACTACATGTCTGTGAAGCCAACATGCAAAACTAAACACAATGACAAAAAGTCAGAGAGTGGTGAGGGCCCAGTGTAATCATGACAGGTCAATTTGCAAATCTACCATTAAAGCCAACGTGCTCTGTTGTATTCTCATGATCATCCAATCAACACACATCACATACTCATATTCCCTCTTATCTTATTCTTCAATCAAAATGAATTCTACCAGACAAACTATTAAGAGGGAGACAATGAATTGGCAATAGATTTCTAGCATGGAAATAATTCATTACAGTATAAAAATAAAACATTTTAGCCCTTCTATTGTTTAATTAATTTCAATTTTCAAGGCCAAGTAATGAAGATTAAGTAAAAGATTAAAATGACCTACTCAAAATATATTATACCATTATAGCAGTTACATTCAGTGGAGAAGCCAATGATGCCCCATAAGATGCAACTAAACTTCAAGTAGAGTAGCTATGGTGATTCGTATTGCATCCATTTCTCACTGATCTTATTATCCGAGGAAGACTAAAATACCAGTCCTAAGAAGGCGCCAAGGTAAAAAAAAAACAAGAAAAAGGGACAAAGTAAACAATGCAACCTTGTGGTAAAACTTTGACAATATATGTATTTATTAATATGTTTTGCCATTTTTCTCCCTCAGCTACTGATTGGGGCCAAAAAAAAATAAAATTATATCAATAAGGGAGGGAAGAAGAAGACAATTGCCAAGAGAATATTTACGTTTAAAAGAGATATTCCTGCTCCTGCAGGACAAGCTACGTGTCATATTGACATACTAAGAACAAAATAAGAAATATCGTAAAAAATAATATAAATAACATGAAGGACGTTGTTCCCAAGAAAGGAGCTAAATGAAAGAGGAATCTTCAGAGATTCTACAGAAGAACTAAAGGAAAAATAATAATGCGTTCAAACATGCTTTATATATATTTATATATGTAAGATTTTCATTTTTTATTTTAGTCACCAGATTTTTTAAAATTCAATATTTATTAATTAAAAAGTCTTCACATGTTAACTTCTTACGAGACTATTTCATCAATAGGAACGCGGAATTTTTAAAAATTTAGAAATTAAAATTAAAAAAAAATACAGAGTAAGATTAAAATCTTACAAAAATATTGGAAGGAATATATCTAATAATAATTAAAAAGAAAAGGGATTTCCGCAACCGTGTGGAAGAATTTCTATTTAATCATGGATACGCAATTTTTGCATATGGCGTGAAGATTCAAGTACAAAATATAAGAGAAAATTGCCTGCATTTTCTCAATGAGATTGTTAAAGAAAACCAAAATAACAAGCTGATAGAAAAAAGGGTAAGAAAGAATCAGATAAAAGGGAGATAAAACTATAAATTAAGGAATAATTTTGTTTAGCATAGAAGAGAAAACCTGAAACCCAATAGAAACAACATCATTCATCCCTTGCTTCAGATTTGACAAAGGAGGTAAAAAATAACAAAGGAAAAAACCTTCATCAACAACGAAAAAAAGAGGTTAATTGGGTACGAAAATCCACATAAATTGGTGAGATAAATATAAACGTAATAATCTTTAGAAATGGGGAAAACAAAGAGCAATTTGTTTGAATTGCAGCGAAGAATGGTGCAATGTGGTGAGCGCCCACAAATGCAGAGAGTGAAAGTGTATTGAAAGTACCTATTTATCTCCGATTCTTCAGCTTGGTTAGGATGTGTTTGGTTGGGGGCTTTCAAGTTGGAAGTTGGAACTCACCTGTGATGTCTGTTCATCACTAGTTTGTGAATCATATCAACTGCATCTTTTATACCTGTTCCAGTAAAAATAACAATGATGATGATCAAAATAATATATTTAAATAAATAATTAATTCAATTTTATTTCAGTCAAATATATTTTAGTTTTTAAAAATAAAAACTGAAATTTCCAACCACCTCGTACCCTGTGCACTTTGTTGTATGTTCCTGTTTTCTATTGAAAAATGACACCAAGAAATTTTTTTAAAGAATTTAATGTTAACAAATTTGATTTTATTTTAATCCTTTTCAAGCTTTGTTAATTCAAATTGTCTTGATCTAGCTTTACAAAAAAAGACTTTGCCTCTTTTAGTATGCTTCTATCATATTTGGAGAATAGTATGAACCGTAGCTCTAGTTAATCATACGTATATTGTGAGGATTCTTTTCTTCAGCCACTAAATTAGAGAGTTCTTATTTCAAAGCCCCAGCCTCCAGCCCCCAGCCCCCATGGTAGATATGTACAAACATGAAACGAAAGACTAAGCTCCACTTTATCCTTTACCTCACAAAATATCAGGAAATGTAAGTCCTCCCTTCTTCCACTAATTATATATATATTTTTTCATGTAACAAGATATTTTAATAATCTTTAAAAGTTTTTATATATTTTTTGAAGTTTAAATCGTTTATTATTTTTAAACTTTCTTTTTGCCCCCTCGAATTCAACTTTATCCATCAATAGAATCTTATAAAATTCATAAGATCTCATGTAGGTTTACAAAATGTTTAAACTGTGTTCTTTTTTTTTATTATTGATTTGGAAATAAAAAAGTACGATTGTAAAAACCACCCATATTAATTAATGTTTTTATTTATTTATTTATTACATAAAACTAAATGGTCAGGAGTCCGGCATGTGACTTTGTGCCCACGTATCAGATTTTTTTAATATAGTATATAACTTTATCATAACTGTAGTTATGAATAGATTCCATTAATAAGTAATAACTGGTGAAAATATTTATCCTATGAAACAAGAACACCTTAACAACTTTTTAGGTTCATATATTCATCAATAATTGATATATTTTTTCTACAATAAACTCCGCCACAGTTGAACTTATTGCACTATTAAATTGCATTGAATTTCGAAATATTTATTCTACCAGTGATGTTATTTGATAAAAATGGTTTACTGTTTGTGAAAAGTGTTACAAATCAATAATACTAATCAAACGGGATGGTTTATATTAACTACCTTCTTTTGTTTATGGAGAATATTAAAACATAATCTCATGCACCTTTTAAGAATTATCATCATATAAAGTTCTAATAATCATGAATTCGTAATTCACAACACGGACAGAGGTTGAAATTCCAGTTTCCAATAAGAAACAAAACAGTTCTAACAAACACACAATTGACAAGGATTGACATTAGGAGTTTAACAACAATGCTGCTTTCTGAAGCCACTTGACATCAGTTCACAGAATCTGAGTCCAGTGTTATTAATTTCTTCAAAATCAAATGAATTTGAAGAATGTGGAGAGTTGCACCAGTCACAGAAGTAGTTCGGTTAAGGAATAAAACTGCACCAAACAAATTGTTTTCATTTGGAAATAGTAATATTTCTTTCATCAAAGAAGCTATGCAGCTTTAGAAAAGGGTGTGTGGAAGAATAGCTAGGTGCCCAACTTAGTGGCAACGATAGATGGAGCTTCACCTCTTGTCTGCTTCACATAGGAAACATATTCACCATAGTGCATAGTAAATAAGGTGCTTTGGTATTTGGTCAGCTGTATGCTCTTCCTCAGTGACTCTGTGATTGGACCATTATAACCTGCCTTGCGTATCAAAGAGTCAATGGCTTCTATCTTAGTCCAACCTGAAACCCGACCAAACATAGATATAATAAGCAAAGAATGCATGTTGGTTTTCCAAGTGGTTTAAGAGAATAAATAAGGATATCTCTGTAACAGTTTCAATTCTAATTAAAGCCTCATAACCCATGTACAAAGCAACTCTACAAGCAAAGTTATATTCTAAAATACAAAAACTAAAAACGACCCAAATTACTCACGAATTCACGATTCATAGTTTAGCCTTGTAGGAAGCAAAGACAAAATTTGAAACAGTAACTGTATTGTAAATCTCTGCCCACACTTCTGACTTCTTCTTGTATTTTACAATCTTTTTCTTGAATTTTTAAAATTTTATACCAGTACAGATAGTAATAGAATTGATAAACCCATCAAAAGGGAATCTTATTATATTATTGAAAGAATACAATCTGTATTTATACAATCTGATAAACTCTAATGTGTTAGATGCTAGGTGGCAAACAAACTAACACGTGTCAAAAAGCAAAAATAACTAACTTCACAGCTGTAAGAAAACTAACACAAGAACAATATATCATTGTCCTAATAGATAGGCATATTGTATAATTAAATAAATGATAGCAATTCTAATTTGGAAAGTTTTGGATGATTATGTATAATGGTTTGGCAAACTTAGGGAAGAAAACTATTTGCAGAAATTTGCATTTTTCATGATTATGTATAACCTTGAAGTGTTGGGTCAGGGCAAATCGCTTGCATATTCAAAGCTGTCTCACTGGGAAAAAAAGTTTTATATACTTTGCATGGCTTCCAGGACTTGAAGAGAGAGATAAGCAGCAATGTAGGACAATATGAATCAGTAGAATAATTTTCAGAAGTAATCTAAACAGTTGTGTGTAGTGTAAGTAACCTAGAGGCGCCTAAGAATTCCTCCACTTTGCTTCTCAACTTGCTATGAGATAGGATTGTATCTATGACCTCTTCTTCATGTTTTGCTAAATACTAATTGCAGTTTTGAAGGGGCTGCCACATCAAATATGCAAATAAACTGGGTGGCTGCTCTTAAGTTATAATTGTTTTTTAGTTCTCTGATGTATTTTTATTTTTCAGTTTTGAAGGATATCTTATCCTTCTTATAGTTGTACTTTACCTCCTTTTATCTAATGAATTTTCTTTGCCTATTGGAAACAAAATACTTATGACAACTTCGTATTAGTGGCATTGTAATATGGAGATTAGCTTCACTTCCCAAATGTGAAGCAATGCTTAAGTTACCTTCATTGGCAGCCACTTCAGGAAGGTATGTGGCACTTCGCCTGGTGTTATAGTCAGGATCAGTAAATTCAATAATTATACCATGCATTCCTACCTGCAAGAAAGTAACTAGTAGAATCTGAATGTGCAAAAGACAGCATAAAGTGCAAAGGATCTAAAACAAAGTCAAAACTGAACCATCAAAACCAAGAGTCCTCTCTATCAACCACCTCCATCTTACAGGTCTAAGTAACATCTGTCTTAAAATCAACAAATCCAAATCATCCAAAATTGGCTCAGAAAGATGACTCTAAAAGCTGGAGCTCTCATCTGATAGATATTAGAGCATAATTACCTTTCACATCCAGCTATTAATCTATGTTTAGAAGGGTGCGTTTGTAAGCTTAAAAAAACACTAAATGACATCTGATCTGAGTCATGCTGACTTTGCATAAACTTTATTTACAAACATTAGTATGAATGAATCACGTGATACTTCAATTCAAGTGTTTTCTGACATGTGAGTTCAATTAAAAAAAAGAAAACAATTGATTTGATGGTACAGATCATCAGAACTCATTTCAACTCTGCGGCAAACAAATCCTTTTAGAAACTTAGTACCACAAACTAAATGCTTTTCAAGTGAGAACTATTTCCTCCAAGTCTAATAGCACTGAACTGCTACTCTAGTTTTTTTTCACAAAATACATCATTATAATTAAATATTCAAATTAATGGATTGAAAAAAAAAATTGAAAAAAAAAAACTAATTCAAAAGAGTAAAACAAGCCATGTTGAAATCGAATAAGTGGGAGAGGGGGAACCTAGAACATAAATCAAATAGGATTGTTTTTGTATTCGCTACCATATTAAATGCTTGGCCACCATCACATCCATTTTGTTCACTTAAATAGTAAAAGATTAAAATAATCAAGTCCTTGCATAAATTGGACTACAATGCAGTATACTGCTATATAGGTTAAATAACATTTCTACAATCATTCTCTACTGGTTACATGACAGAAACCAAACAAGCGAATCAACACTTACCTCCCAATCAAGGTAATCATTAGCAGTTTCATAATCAGTAAGAATAGAGACTGTACACTCCAAGAAAGGAAGCTCTTTAGCCTGTATGGGTGGAAATCTACGGTCCCTGAGAGCACTGCAACATATTTTTTTGGAGGCAAAACAAGGAAACATAAGAAATAAACAGATTTGAGGTCACTCAAATGTAAAGTATAGAATGCTGACAGATAAATAAAACTTGTCTGGAATTTTTTCAGTCTCTTAAGTAGGTAGAATCAGAGAAAGGAAAACTAAGGAGCATGCTATGACATCATTAAAATGAACCCTTATGCTCAAGTTTCCATGAGACATCAGCTAAACAAGGTATACTATCATGGACAGAAACATCTCCAGTTCATAGTCAATCTGTGAATTCACAGGTTGAAACTTGTTCATTAATTTCACAGCAAGATGGTGCCTCCCTAAATCTCAAGAATCTTCGTTTGCTAATACTACATCAACAAAACCTGTTCAGTGCATAATCTCTGAAACCATTGATCAAGCCCCGTGCTTCTAGAGAACCGATGCATCCACGAAGACGAGGCTCCCCACCATTTACCACTTTCTTCCATGTGACAAACAATGGGCTGAAACAAGGCATAATTAATTGCTTCAAACCAGGATATCATAGCATAGTCCTTAAATATAAATTATGACTTCATTAGAGGGGCAGATACAATCCTTAAAAGTTAAAACTGAAAAATAAATAAATAAATATATATATATATATACATATATATAATTTTTAAAAAACATTTAACTACCAGAGCACAATCCCATAACCACAAATGCCCATTTAAACAACAAAAAGGTATGTTTACAAGAAAATATATATGCCAAGTACAAAGCATTTATTAAAGAGAAGCTCAATCCTGTAGTGTCCTCTGACGGGGAACAATCTGCATACAAAACATATAAAAGCAGTAAATGATGATTGAGAATAGAAGTCCTTTTTAATGTATTAATTCCAGCTTCAGAAGGGAAAGAAATATACTATTCAAACTTAAACAACTCGATGTCCAAGCAAATGCTAAGATTCAATCCTACATCTACTTCAAAGTGCTTCCCCAATATCATCCACACTCAAAGCTTAAAAGACAGTGCAACAAAATGTCTTCTATTTAAATTTTCCTTCGCAAAGCATAATGGTCATCACAGTTAACTGTTACATCAGAAATAGGGGGTAGCAACAAACCATAACATAATAATCACCATCCAAAAAATCAACACCTCTTTCTCCACACAATGAACCCATTTCTACTTCCACCAAATAAATGTCAGCACTTGATAGGTCAGCCACGGTGACCCGTTGCAGGATCATTTATTTTTGCAACAAATAACATAAGGGACAAACAGAGAAAACAGTGACTTTTACACATAAAATAAATAAAATCAAACAACTTTCATCAACATCACAATATTTAAACAAAAACCCATTTCATAAAAAAGATCCTTCAATTCTTCCCATCTAAAGGAGCATGCAAGCAACATGTTATTCATTAAACAATAAAACAAAAGCGAGGAGAGAGAGAGAGAGATTACTGTTGACCCTCATCGAAGGCAGGAGGAGGAGCTTCCTCGCTGGTGTAGTGAGCAACGAGGGTGTCGAAACAGTACACAACCATTTCCTTGTTCGCCGACACCATTTTTAATATCAATTCGTGTTTTTTGTTCTATTTCCTTAAATATTACGAAAAATCGAGTTTGTTAATTTTATGGTTTCTGATTTAGCAGTTCCTAAGTAGAAGTTTTGTTGGTGATTGTGGATCGGTGCGTGTTGTGTTGGGACCCTAAGACAGAATGAGAAGCTTTTGCTTTTTCTCTCCTCACTCTCTGCGGGTTCCTTACCTTGCAATTTCAAGCAAACGACCACTCTCTCAGAATTGAAAAAACTAGTCCTACTTTACCATTTTGCCCCTTTCGCTTTATAAATTACAGAGATCCTATTCCTCAACCTAATAATTCACTTTATTCCATCATGAAAATTATTTTGTCAACACAGAGAGCAACTTTTTCTTTCTTTGCACGCCTTAAATTTCATTGCCTCTTATCCAAAAATATATACACCATTGTCTATAATAGGAAGTTAGCGTTTTTAATGCTTAAGAATAACAGAAGGGAGGTTTACTTTTTGCATCAACCAATGGTTAAATTATGTTGTTGGTAGTTTTAGACAACGTTAGTGTCATCAAAACAAAAAAACTTGTGGAAAGTTATATTTATATAATAATTTTGTACAGCAGGTTCTAATATCCTCCCTTCTTTTGTAAAAAGTAAATATAATATTTTTCAATAAATAAAAAAAAATTAACTTTAAACCGTTGATATTTGTAGATATAAAATGAATGACTAAGATTAATGGATGAAAATGTTAAGAATCAAAAGAAACAAATGACTACATTTGGTAATAAAATGTTAATGAAGGGTAAAAAAGTAAATTGTTACTTCTCCTTTATCTTTTTCCTTTTTATCTCTACGACAACTCCTCCATTTTCATCTCTTTTTCTTTCTTTTCAACCTCATTCATTCTCATAATTTTTTTTCATCTAAACTTTGAAATTTGTTGGATAAAATTAACTAAGATTAGATTTCTCCTCTATGACTTCCTTCGTTATTTCCTCTGAATTACATACACTGGCCTATCAATCTAGATTCCAATGAGACATGGCTGAAAGAACATGTGGTTGGAAAAAGTCACTTCTACATCAGTTAAATTGGATGACCGAAACAATAATTATTTACAAAGTATATTTAAAAAATTAAAACGTAAGTTTTACATGAGTTTTCTCAAATAACCGATGTAAATAACTACTTCTCCTTTATTTCTTTCCTCTTCATCTATACAACAACTACATTTTCATCTCTCTTATTTCTTCTCAACCTTTTTCATTTCCAGGTTTTTTTTTTCATTTAAACTTTGAAATTTGTTGGATAAAATTAACTAAGATGAGATTTCTCCTTTGTGACTTCCTTCATAATTTCCTCTGCAACTCCTCCATTTTTATCTCTCTTGTTTCTTCTCAACCTCCTTTATTCCCAGATTTTTTTCCATCTAAACTTTGAAATTTGTTAAATAAAATTAACTAAAATGAGATTTCTCCTCTGTGACTTCCTTCATAATTTTCTCTGAATTACATGTACTGGCCTATCAATCTGGATTCCAATGAGACATGGCTGAAAGAACATGAAACGTGGTTAGGAAAAGTCACTTCTACATCAGTTGAATTGGATGACCGAAGCAATAATTCTTTACAAAGTATATTTAAAAAATTAAAACGTAAGTTTTACATGGATTTTTTCAGATAACTGATGTAAATAACTACTTCTCCTTTATTTCTTTCCTCTTCATCTCTACGACAACTCCATTTTTATCTCTCTTATTTCTTCTCAACCTTCTTCATTTTCAGATTTTTTTTTCATTTAAACTTTGAAATTAGTTGGATAAAATTAATTAAGATGAGATTTCTCCTCTGTGACTTCCTTCATAATTTCCTTTACAACTCCTCAATTTTCATCTCTCTTGTTTTTTCTCAACCTCCTTCATTCCCATTTTTTTTTTCATCTAAACTTTGAAATTTGTTGGATAAAATTAACTAAGATGAGATTTTTCCTCTGTGACTTCCTTCATTATTTCCTCTGAATTACATGCACTGGCCTATCAATCTGGATTCCAATGAGACATGGCTGAAAGAACATGAAACGTAGTTGGGAAAAGTCACTTCTACATCAGTTGAATTGGATGACCGAAGCAATAATTCTTTACAAAATATATTTAAAAAATTAAAACGTAATTTCTACATGGGTTTTATCAGATAACCGATGTAAAAATTAGCGACATAAACCCAACACAACCGATGTAAGGAAAATGTATAAAGTGGTTGCTTAATAACATCAGACTTGCCACAGACCCGATGCAAATTGAATCCATGCACAAATATAAAAGGTGTTCACCTAATCACATTGATTTTATAACACAATCGATGCAAATGTAAAGGCCACACAAACCATTGTTCATCTTTTAACTCTCGATCCCTTTCAGAAACTCATTGTTTTTTTCATTGTCTCTGACCTGCACAACCAATTTCATTGTAATAATACAGTTATCCCTTACTTTTTATATTGAATCTCCACAACCTGATGTTCTTTTTATCTTAACTTTATACATACTTAATATTTAAAATTTCATGTTTTTAACATTGTAAACGCTCCACACCTACCTGTTGTTCTGTAAATATAATTTTTAACACAACGCTGAAGAGAACAAGATGAACAACACCAATAAGAAGAAGAGGAATAAAACACGAAGAAAAAATAAAAGTATGAAATTACCAATATATCCTTTTAAAAATCTAACTTGAATAATCGGTATCCTGTAATTCATTATTAACCATTCGATTAAAATCAACGGTCCATAATACATGATAACTTTTGTAAAAGATTTTTTTTTTTACTTTTTACAAAAGAAGGGAGGATATTAGAATCTGCCATTTTGTACACTTAAAAAGAAAATCAAAAGGTGAGACACAATATGAGTGTTGTAAAGTACACATGTGTAACTGATTTATCCAAAAAAAATTATTTTTATGAATAATATAACTCGTAATTTATTACTGTTTAAGCCCTTTATTGAACGACAAAATATTGAAAATGGATTCAGCATTTAAAATGCGAAGACAAAAATGGCTTATGATTGCTTTATGAGAAATTACTGGAAAAAAAAAAAAAAAAACTTGGCCCGCTTTAGCCTACAGCAACAGGCTAACTTTAAAGATGGTCATTATTTTGACCCAAAAAGAAAATTCAGGTTTGCCATGGTGTATATGCAGATCCTTAAACTCGTTATATTCAAATAAATTGATAATAACAATAGATTATTGGAAACAAGGAAATATCTCTTTCGATATCATTAAATAATAAATATATACTAATTTTAGTATGTTTATTTGACACTATTCTTATTTTAGTCATATTTTTAATGCTATAATTAAAAGAAACACATTCTTTAATTTATTTTTATTATTTATTAAATTTATTTAAAATTATAAAAATACAAAAGAGAAACATCAAATAAAAATAAATGTGAAATATGTTTAATTTTTAAATTTTTTAATAAATTTTCCGCTGCTTAAAAAAATTGAAACATTTATTAATCATAATAATTATCCAAACTAAACTCTCACGCAACCTTATTCTTGGAACTGTATAAGCGCCCACGGAATAGAAGGAAATAATAATAATATAAAAAAAAAGGAACAAAACTAAACTTGTAATAAATATTTTTCGAGGCTATCTTCATATTGAAATAAAAATTTCAACTTTCATAGCAGAAAATATTAATAATATTTTATCTAAATAAAATTAAAATTACATGGAGCAAACATTTTGAATATAGGAGATTTCAAAAATTGAAATGTTTTATAAGGTAAAATAGTAACAAACGTTAAAAGAAAATAGCAGTGAAAAGCGAAAAAAAATGAAAATAGCAGTGAGAATGATTTATGATTATATTTGGTTACTGTGATGATGAGATTTATCCGGTTTAGAACGGGTCGTGGAGTGAGTGTATATATACAAGGGGAAAGTTCTAGGGTCATTGACTCTCCCTTCCTTCATATTCTAATTATCACCGTCACCAATGGCTATGAGATCGGTAGTGAGTCGAGGATCGGCGACTCGTTCGATGGACTCAACAACTCGGGGTGCTTTTTCGCGCTTCTTCAGCGACAAAGGTCGTGTTTTGAGCGAGGAGGAACAGGCCAAAGAGAACGTCTACATACAGGTACCCTCTTGCTTCCACTCTTCCACTTTCTTCTCTTTCCATTTCAATTATTGATTTTTTTCTTTTTGTGCAGAAATGGGAGAGGGAAAGGCTCGAGAAACAGAAGCAACAGTCTGATAAGGCTAAGGCTGAGAAGGACAAAGATACCTCTGATAAGGTACCCTCATGTGACCTGTCTTCTTTCTTTCAACATTTTCCTATCGCTTAGGAATATTATATGTTCTCCGAGGATGTTTGAATCAATTAACGAGATTTGTGGGCCATTGCTGTGTCTGATATCTGCCATTGACCCCTTTGATTTTGAGGTCTGAGGATGTGTTACTTTCTGCCATGGAGCCATAGGAATATGATTCCTTCTTGGATGGATGTTATTGGCTTTTTGACAATTTATTAGCTTTGTGCAGTTTTTGTCCTGGATGAGATATTTCTGTTTTACAAAACAACATGGAAATCCTAATAATTGTCATATGGTGATTTCATTGTTTAGACATTACTTAGTAGGATTTGAGATGCGCATTATCATTGTAATCTCGTTCTTGCTTTTGCTTTTCTGGTTTCAAACGGGGCAAGATTTTTGTTAATTGTTATCTTTTTTGTGGGGATGGGTAGCTGGGTAGTGTGTCTATCTCTGTTCTGCAAAAAGCAGTTGAGATTATTTGAGAATTTTCTTTACTACTCAACTAGGCTCGTCATTATATGGAATGAGTTCCAGGCTTCCAGCCCTTACATGTGAAAATATTCCCCTTGTTTTTGTTATCAACAAAGTGAAATGGTTTACATGACCTTGAAAGACTGCATTATAGTTCTTTACTTCTGAGATGCTGATTTCTGATACTGTTCTGTTCTTGAACATTTGTTTGCTTTTGCACGTTTTTTGGATATTAAATTCAATTTGCTGTGAAACCAGGGGGCAGGGGGCCATTTCCCAACGAGTGCTAGCATGTGCCACACGTGCATAGCATTGGGAGGTGGGGTTGTTACCCTGTTACCATGATGTGCACTTAGATAACAACTAGCCTGGGGTAAATTGAAATCTTTCATGAAGTTTATGTCTTGTCCACATTTATAGATTCTATAATCTGGCCGTGAAATGGGAATGCTTAGAATTATGTAATGCATTTGTTTTGTAGCAAATTGTTGTCATAGAAATTTTACTGCAGATCAAGTATACTAGTGTATTCCTTTTACCATGATTTAACACTTCTTTTCTTGTCTGTAGAAACCTGAAGGTGCTCAGAAGGGCTGAGTCTATCCATCATGCCAGCCGTCAAGGTCGTTTGTGAGAAATAAGCAATGGCAAATAAAATACACTGACTCTGAGTGGACTTTGGTCTTTGTATAGATTGTGTTTCTTGTTTATTTGTAGTTTCTTCAAGTGACCGATGAAATCATGTCATTGTGTCCAGCAAACTTGGTATGCTTCTTATGATGTGATCCTTTCCAGTAATTTTTCACATTTATGGGTTTGTCAGTGGTTTCGGTGTGGATAGTTACTGTAATTTCACTGTGATGGTAGAATTCAGTTTAGGAGTGAGTAGGTCAACTGAATAGATCGAAGCTTCTTTTTATTTAAGTAACTTATCAATGCATAAAAGGGTCTGAATGGATATAACTGTTTAATTTGGTTGTAGTATTAGGATTAAAGATAAAACGACCAATTTTGAATGGAGTATGATTATGTGGTCCACTCTAGTGGCTAATATACCCACCGGTTTTGTGGCTATAGAATGAGCTCAAAGTTCATTTTTGGATTAGTGTGCCTGAGATGCCGACAGCGGCGCCGGCTAGATATGAAACGAAAAATATTCAGGGCACGTTTAAAAGAGGAGACTTAAGAAAGCAAGCTATGACTCTCATGAATGTTTCTATAAAAGCTTATTTGGATAAATTTGAGCAATGATTATTAAAATAAATTATTTTGAGCTTATTTTAACAGTTTTAATAATTAAATTTGTGGTATAATTTTTTATGTAATAATAGTTTATTTAATAAATATATAATCAAGCTATTTTATCAAAAGAGATCCTTAATTTGTTTCCATCGAGACAAATGAAAATATAGAGAAAGAAAGCGATGTTTAGAAAATAGGCCTCTGCATTATTATTGTGATATGTTTTTAAAAAGGCATAGTTTGTTTATCAGTAGAGAAATGAGGTCATAATCTATTTTTTATTTTCTTATGAATTCTTTATTTTCATTTTAAATTAACAACCACTGTTTTGGCACCCTGACCATTATTTGCTGCGGTTCTTCCTGTGTGTCATTGTGCTGCCACTATCAATACAACCGTAGAGTCCGATTTTCTTCAACGCAAAATTTATCTGTTAGATTTGGACAAATATGTAACGGTAGAATAAAATATAATTCTGTTTTGTGAAGGATATCTGTGGTCTAGAACAAAAAAATAAAATAAAAATTTATAATATTTCTAAAAAGGAACAAAAGAAGAATGACAATGGGTCAAAGTGTGCTCCACATCATCTGTAAATCCTCAGACAACTGGAAACGAAAAAGGAGAATAGTGCATTACATTAATAGAACAGTCATTATACAAATTCGTACTTTTGTTCATTAGAATAGAGCTGATTGTTTTGAGAGGCCCAACTTCACCAACAGTGAGATGTTACAATACGTGTAGGCACTGATGCAATCCTTGGTTTAGGAATAAAGTTATCAGACATTTTTTGGCATTTTCCTCCTGTGGGGTGGATTAAAAAAAATAATTAACCCAGAGATGCTGGATGTTGGTGAATTTTAGAGTGATGGTTGAGTTTGGATTGAAGATTAAGGTTTTATATATCATTGTGAGTATTGCTCTGCATTCATGGCCCCTATTATTACTATTGGGCTTGAGAATTGGGTACAATAAGTTAATGGACTGGATCTTCAATTTACAGGAAGTGATTACTCCTCCTCATTAGTTGATTTGGTATTTGCCCATTTTTAAGGGGCTTCATTACTCTGCGATGTAATTTCTCGAACTGATCGTTGTGCGGAAAATGATTTTATTCTGCACTACAGATGATAGGATTAAAACTTTCAACGTAAATACTCTTAAATTGTTGGGTACCAAATCATGACATTTGGTAATGGATCTGGCTTAGTCCCTTTCTATTATTTTAGTATTTTCTGAAATTAAGCTATAATTTATAAATGGGATTTCACGGGCAACTGATCTCGTGAGGTTTTGTCTTCAGCAAAGAAAAAAGAATAAAGGTTAAAGAGCCTAGTAATAATTTATAAAAATGTGTTTTTCTGTAAATTTAAAATGATCTAGTGGGCGCAAGATTGTTAAAACAATTGGTGCTTTCGAAAGATGGTGCATTTTACAACATTAAGAAGTTCTGTAAAGCTGCTTCCTTTAATAAGATTACAGGCTTTTACCATAAAGGAACCTGACATCAAGAAACCTATATACCCAAGTTGCTGGTTGAATGCATAGCGTATATTATCATGCTTTCACTCAACCGAACAACTGGCAAGGTTTAAAATACTTAAATTCGAAATGCAAAACAGTAATTGGATTAGACACAGACAAAGAATTTCCATTACTATTTGAATTCATTTCTAAAAGTTCCCTATTTGTTTTTCACTACCACCCCTCCTCACTAGTTCATATATGTGATTCACAAACAAAATAAAACAAAACCTACACTAATACATTCAATTAGCATTACTCCTAATAACTCTATCAGCTATCAAAACCATAAACTATACAAAGAACAGATGAATCACAGGTACATCACTATATACAGAACATGCGGTTCTTAGCATTCTTTACATTTCAAAGCCATAATTTGAGTAACCAAATCTACCCATTTGGTCATGCAAGTTATTTGATGGATACTGCTGCATCTCTCGTGACTGCTGCACCGAACCACCCGGAGGAGGAACCCAATTCTGATCAATGGGCACAGGCACGGAGTTACTATCCACAGTGGTTATGTCATGAATGCTTGACCTTTTCCTCTCTTTCTTCACTGAATTTTGGCGAAGGAAGTACTTTTGGGCATGACTAGCTACTTGAGTCGGTGTTCTTGTCACAACAACATTTCTTGATATGCTTCTCCAATCTCCTTTGCCAAATTTACTTAGCCCAATTAGGAACAGCCTGTCACAGAGATAAAAACTCAGCAACGGCACAAATTGTACCATCATGCTTGCACGACAACCAAGAAAATAATATTGCATTGCATATATTTTATATTCCACCCCCCCCCCCCTCTTTTTAATTCACTTTTTCCCTGGTAATCGAACTTCAACGAGAGAATTATCGAACGAAAGAGAATGAAATTATGTTATTCCTAAGTGCAGCTGAAAGTTAGAATCTTCACACGAAACGAGATTTTAGAAACAAAACCGCCAAAACAATTCCTATGATTTTATTTTTCTTGGTACTGATTCCTCAAACATTTCGAAAAAACAAATAAATAATATCGGAACAGAAAAAAAATTTCAGGTCAAAACAGCATAAAAAAGAAACACAAAATTGCTTAGAATTTTTTCCCCTCTTTTTTAAAATTATAGCATCTATACAGCTCGCTGAAGATATATAAAAAAACCCCAAAATCAAAACCCCAAACACACACATACACACAAAAGAAAAGGGAGCGAATCGAATTGAAGCAAAATCGTTGGCATACCTGTGTTCTTCTTCAGTCCAAGGCGTTCCTTTCTTCCTTTCGTTGTCGCCATGCCTGGGTTTGGACCCAAATGAGATCTGATTTGAAGAGTCCCACGAAGACACGCCGCCACTGGACACCGCCGAGTCATCAACGTAACTCGGCACCTCGACTCGGCCCGAGTCGATCTCGAAGACGTCGTGAACCAAAGCCTCGTAGTGTTCCCTGACCTCCGCCGCCGACTTACCGGGAACCTGCTCGGCGATCTTCTCCCACCGGTCGGGCTGGTCCTCCGGCACGATCAAGAGGGCTCGCTCGAAGAGCTTGTCGTGGTAGCGTGTCCACTGAGTCGGGTGAAGTGGCTGAGTCGGCCACCGCGTGGCGCTGCTCTCCTGAAACATGGTCGTTGTCGCTTTCTAAGTTGAATTCAAAGGTGTGGTGTGGATGGTGTTGCTGTGTTTCGCGTTCCAATTGTTTGTTTGTTTGTTTTCGCTGACTCTGTGAAACGAAGAGAGAGAAGGGAGAGAAGAGAGAGACTCGCTTTCTAGGAGATTTCGCTGCTGCGTTTGGTGGGAGGTTTAAGAAAACGCGATTAATATATAGGGAACGCAAATTTTATAAAAAAAATGACAATGAAAATAGTGTTTTAGTTTTAAAAAATGATGAAAAGGTAATTTAATTTTAGGTGGGGTTTGGGAAAATCTGTTGTGGTGGGACCAGCTCAGCGGGTCTTCAATACCAACACGTTTTTGCTTTTTTTGGTTTTTCTCTGCTTCCTTTCCTTCTCAATCTCTGCACTGCAAACTAGGAAACAACTCTCACTTTTCACCTGTTTTTCCAAAATATTTACTGTTATTAATTATATATTAACTTAAGATTTTGGCAACTAATATCAATGAAGCATCCCTTAAATTATTACTAAAACTATTCTTTTATTATTATTAAAAATGATGTTGAGTTTTGTTAAAAGTTACATCAAGATAGGACAAAATAATTCCCTTTTCATGTATTTGTATTTGATTTATCACAATCTATATTTTATCTAATAATTAAACAAATTAATATATCATTATTTTACATAAAATTCTTAATATATATAATAATTAAATAAAAATAATTTTATTACTTTGTTTTTAGTTTATTAATTTTTACTAATTAATAATGTATTACATCTCTATTATATTTTTATTAATTATTATATAAAATTTTGGAATGAAGCTTAATTTGCACAACTTAAATATTAAAAGAATTAAATATAAATAATTAAAGTTGAAAATTTTTTCATATAAATTAACATATATAAATTAAAGTAAAGTAAAGTTATTGTTTCATTAATAAAAATAATTTTATAGAAATAAATAAATTTATTAATTTTTATCTTTTTTTTCTTTTTTATATTATTGTTTACTCGTTCTAAATTGTTGTCTATCGTATTTGACAAAAGTATCTAGAATATTTTTTTATGAAATTCATTTTAATTTATGAAGTTAGTCTTTGTGTTCAATGAGTAGATTATTTTAATATTTTTAATAAAATTCAGTGTGAATTTATTAATGTAATCATATAATTGATTTTAATAGATTTTATAATTAAATTTATCATGTAAATTTTTATACAATAAACGATTTTAACATAAATACTCAATTAAAGTATTTGTCTAAATTCACACGCATTCTATGAAATGAATTATTCGAATTTAGATCCAAAAACATTCTGTAACCCCTTGTGTAGTTTTAAAGAAAAAAATGATGTGAAGGAAACAAATTACAATATAAATTGAAGGAAATATAAGAAGAAATAATTTTTTTATTTTTTAATTTAATTTTTCTAGTTCGTCGTTATTATTTTTTGGACCAAAAATATGATTATTTATATTTTTGTTTCTCTTTATTATTTTTCACCTAAACAAAGTTTAAAGATTATTTTAAAAGTCAAGGTTTTTGAGAGAGAAGAGGGTACCTATTTATTTTAAATTAAAAAACTATTTGTAAATTAAATAAAATTTAATAGAATATTTTATATAAATATTTATCAAATAAAACACATTTATTAAAAAATATATTTTTTTCTAATTCTCAACTCTTGTTCACATCTTAAAGTTTAGGAACCTTAACTTGTCATCGCAAATACTTTAGTTTAGTTGTATAGCAACTAACTCGAAAAGATAGGGTAATTAAGTTAAAGTTTTATTGCGTTGAGTGGAGTATTTATACATGTGAAGACGATATTTTCAGGGAGTGATCTTGATTAAATTTGAATACAATTATGTACAAAATTCTCTCATAAGTTTTTCATAAGCAACATCACTCTTAAATATTTTCAAACCTTATCTTTTAGTTTATATTCATTATATGCGACGATCACTTGAAATTCAACAGAGTTTAGACATAAACTTAAAATTGATTTTAAAAAATTTACATTTTATCTTAACTTTTTATTTAATTTATACATAAACGATAACATATTTCTTGTTACGTGCATTTGATGAATTTTTATTTTAATCAACGTAAGATATTTGATTATTTTCAAATTAAAAGTTACAACAGCATTACAGAAGAAGTCATTACTCATTGCCCTCTATCAATCACATTCTTAGTTTTGCCTTGTATATAAATAAATATAACGTGGCTTCTAAGGTTGATTAAGCTAAGCTCCCTATCGACAATGGCCATAAGTTAACATTTATTGGTCCCGTTAATGGTGGTTGTAAGATGTTACTGTCAGAACTTTACGTGGGTATAGTCAAGGGAATAAGATTCCATATTCCTATGCATTGGGTTCCTTTTGTTTTTGGGAGTATATTTGAGAAATGAACATGCACGTCAGAGATAACACGCGTTACTCGCACTTACGTGTTGGCTTTACCCATTTCTGAAATAGGGTTCAAAACAAAAGTGTTGGCGATAAGTGAATACTAGAAATGTCCATTTTATTATTTTTACCGAGTGATATTCCAAATCCTGACAACAGTAAACCTTGCGATTTTGTTTGTACAGGAAAATAATGTGTCTTAGTGGGACTTTATCTTTTTCTGTATAAAATGTTTTTAGTCAAACCGACACCAATTAATTAGACTTTGGACGAGGAGAATCTAACACCACCCCTTTTTAGTTTATTGTTTGTTAAATCAAACTTAACTGCAGAATCTCCTTTTCTCTGTAGAATCTACAATTATCTATTCCAGATAACATTGAAATAAAGCTTCACCTAGTTTTGGGAGTCATATTCTTACTCGTTAAATTTGACTATTTTAATTTAAGAGTGACTTGGTATTTTTTATTGGTATAGAAAAAGTGAAAAAAATTTAAATGTATTGTTCGTTAACATGCTTTCAATTTCTTCAACTGTCATCTTGTCCCATAAAAAACAAGGAAGAGTTTTCATTACTTAGTGTAACAATATGTTGAACTACACCTTATAATACATGTTTTATGGATTATAACTTATTAAAAGTTATAAAAAATAATCCGATGTAAATGTAAAAAGCTAATCATTAGTCGAAAAACATGATATAACTAGAAAATATATTAAAAAATAAATACATGTTCTAGTTAGTTTTGACTAGTGTCATCATTTAATAATTAATCAATCATCATGTACTTTTACCATAGTTTTTTAATTTGAACAAAATTGATATGGATCTATTTCAAATCATGTGAATTTTTTATATTTTAAGTAACATCTTTTAAGACAATCACTTCTCGTTGCTAATTAATAGTTGGGTGAACCTAAAGTTTTATGTGTATACTTTCAAACAATAATTTGACACGTAATTTTTTTTATCTGTTTATCAAAAATATTATTTCATTCAATAAAATAATTTAAATTATATATTTAAAAAAGTATTAATTAAAAAACTAAAGTAAATAATTATTGTTTAAATGTCAATTTTAATATAACTAGTGAAAAAGAAAGATTAAAAGGTAATAAAATATATAAATAAATTAAAATAATATTTCTTCTTTTCGTTACATTAATTCCTATTCACTTTTTCTTTTTTATCACTATTGTTATCAAATGATTTTATGGCTAGTTTGCTTTATTTTTCACTTTTATATATTTTGATTGATGATAATAATATCATTATATATATATATATATATATATATATCATTTTTTTATATATATTTCAATGTTTATACTTAATGATTTTTTTTATTCTGCTACTTGTTAGTTATATTTTTTAAGTTTAAATTTTCATCTCATAAGTCATAACAATGGTGTATACCCCTTTAAATGTCTTATGATCGTCTTTGTAAGGAAAATAGTTTACAGAGAACTGATAGACTAAGTAATGTGTTAGAAATAAATATTAATGTTGCTAAAATAATTATAAACCAGACATACTTTTGTAATGACAAATAGTATGCAAGAAAATAAATAAAATCATGAAAAATTTCTTTGCTGAAGTAAACCACATTAACTGTTTTTTTTTTTTTCGAATTTTTGCTACTGCATGTCTAATATTGACCTAATTTTTTTTATTTTTTTTTGTGAAATCTCTCTGATTGACTTGTAATCTTAAAATATATGTTTTTGTGTTTTGAAATAGACTAAAAATATTAACTTAACGATGAGCTTGTGCGTCACAGAATTATTTAAGATAAATTCATTGTCTTGTTACCAATCGTAATACAGGACAAATCAGAATAAACTGTAAACTCCTAGTATGTCATTTTCTATCCGTACAAGGATTTTACATTAAAATATACCAAAGAAAATCGCAAATGCCTGAAACAATGAAATATTTCAATATTAAAACGAAAATATTGGATATATTTATTTTACTTTAAATTTAATTACTAATTTTATATACATACATCCTATACAATTAATCTTATATAAAAATGTGTTACCAATAACAAATTATAAATAATTATATTTAAATTCACTATAGTTCGTGTATGTTCTTATACTTGTTTGTAACCTATTTTCTATCGTAATATTAAAAAAAGTGACAGAATTCAATTTTAAAATAATATTCCTTCGTATTTTCTTAACAAGTTTCGTTATTTTCCTAAACGTTCAAGCATTGATTCTCTTGACTTCTGTGCGAAAGATCAATGGCCTAGTGTTTTAAACACTTGTTTTTTTAGTCTGGTGAAGTCAATTATCAGCATACTTTAAAAAAAAAAAATCCCATCAAAATTTATCAAATAATTTGTATAGTTATTGTTTAAAAAATATTTTATGTAGTGGATACTTTAAGAAAATAACATCCTTTTAATTTGACGTACACTAAATAGAATTTTATTGGCTATTTTAAAATTTATAAAATAATAATTCAAAAAAATATATATCTTAAAGATCTAATAAAATAAGTAAAATGAAATATACACTAAAAATAAAAATTTCAAGATAATTGTCTACCAAAGTAAGATGATAAACTCTTAATAGCAACAAAATGTTTCAAAATTGTTATTACTATTCATGTATTTTCGTCACTTTTCCTTGACATTATTCCAAGCATAGTGGTTTGTTTGTTTTTTTAATTGAATTTAAAACATGAAAAAGAAAAAGACAAAATGAAGGGGTTGGTGAGGTGCGAGAGTGTGAAGTTGTCGGCGATAG